GCTTGCCCATAGTCGAATGAAACTAGACATGGCAGCGAGCTCGAGACCTCATCGCCCATCGAGCAGACTCTGGCAAACTGATCAAGCCCCAGGATGTGCAGCCCAAAATTCCGCCCACCAACGAAGCCCCTCTGGGTATAGAACACATACTTGGATAACGCTTTTGAAAACTCTGAGGTCGCAAAGACCGCGTCAATGCTGTTTGCCGCCTGCTTGAGGCCGAGGGGGCGCGTCTGCCCAGCAGAGCGGAAGATCTCGACCGAGTTGCCGCCCTCCGATCCCTTCGGCACGAAGGCGGCGCGCGCGAAGTTGAAAGACGGGGGCGCGGCCTCCCCCCCAGGAGCCACCAGAGTACACTATCAAGCAGCCGAACTCCCCCAGGGTGGTGTTTGCCACGCGGCGCATGGGGGCCCATCTAACCCAGGAACGCCATGACTTTGTTCAGCCAGGGACCTCGAGTCCTTGGAGATCTGGCGGAGGAAGGTCTTGCAGTTGGGCCTCAGGGGGGGGGGTACCTCTGGAGTAACTTCTCGGCGGCCTCCTGGTCAATATCCCGCGCGGCAAATACTTTACCCCAATGTTCAGCTAGCAGCCCCAGGATAGCGCCAGGAGCTCGACAGACCCCGCGATCATGTCGCAGGCCCTGAAGACACAACCGGCGGTCGAGAGGGGACCAGAGCCTACTCCTGTTCACAATTCCTACGAGCCTCCGTCGGTGCTTATTCTTATCGCGGTCGGATCGAGCGTTCGAAATATTATGGTTGGCCTCGTTCTGCCGTCGGTTCGAAATCGTCAAGTGGGCTTCGTTGGAGACTCGCATGAATTCGTCGGGCTCGAGCAGGGAGACGCGCTTCCCCAGCGCGTCGACCTCCAGAAATCTGGCACCAAGCGGGTGAGCAGCACGCGCGCGCTCGGCAAGTCGAAAAATCCTGCGTCCAGATCGCTCGAGCCACCGACTTCACCACCATGATTCTGGCCAGGGGGGGTCCAGGGAGCTCGGCGATGGCATGGTCACGAGCATAGCGGGCAGCTTCGCGCATGAGCATCGACTGACGCCCAAGAGCCAGCCAGGGGCGGGGGCGTGTCGTCGCAGGGGCCCTTCTCGAGGGCCATCTCGAGGAACCGCTTATACTGGGCACGCTGGAAAACCTCCTTCATGATGGGTCTCTCCCCCTGGGGCACGCGCGGGGCGGTGGCCAGGGAGAAGAGGGTCGGCGAGTGATCGGAAAGCCCTTTCGCGCCCATCACTTCGGGGTGCTCGATGGCTTCCTCCGCAATGCACAACTGGTTGCAGAGCCAGCCAGGCGCCGAGACAAAGCCCCCGTCGGTTTTCGTCAGCTTGTTTTTGTTCCCCCAGGCCTGTGGTAGCACGCATAGTCAGGGAACTCAACCTCAACTAAACTGCGAAGAGCACCAGCCAATGCAGCGGGCCCAATGGGACCTCCACTCCTGGTAATTCTGAAGGACCACAGGCGTCGGGGCCTCATCCGAAAACTGCGGCGGCTCTGCGCTGATGTTGAAATCGCCTAGCACCGCGACCAGGCGCTTCAAGGGCGAAGAGGCAGCGGCGCCCCTAGCGGCCGAGATCGCGTCTGCCACGCGCTGAATGGACGCGCCAAGGATCCCAAAGTTATGAACGTTGGAGACCGAAAGCCACATCCCGAACTCGAACTCGATTTTGGTGTGGATAACCCTCCCCTCCACAAGAGTCTGTCGCATGATATTTGGTCGGAACGAACATCGAAAGACGGGAATATCGAGACAACCCCTCCTTTCGAACGCGGGGAAGACGAGAATGCGGAATGGGGAGAAACACCTTGAGCGTGGGAATGGAAGAACAAGTCTTGAAGGTGATGAACTGAACCATGCACTTCCTGAGGGGCAAGAACAGAACCAGGGGCAAGATGAGAGCGAGCGAGCGAGGCCTCCCGCGAGGCCAGTTCCGGGGAGTGATGGAAGAAGGCCCTGGTGTTCCAACTCGGGAACTTGAGCGGGGGCCCTGTCCCGCTGGAAGAGCGCCAAGCACCAAACAGGCAAGGGGCTCGACTCCACCGCGTCAGCAGCGTTGAACTCGGCGTTGATGGCGGTTGCCAGGACGTCCTTGTCGATGCCCAGGTGCTGCAGGTTGGCCACGGAGTATTCGGCGCAAGGAACTGCATCGCGGTGCTGAGGAGTGACCTTGACCAACGCTTTCCACTGTGAACTGATCTCGCCCTTCTGCTTGTCGGTGTAGAAACGCAGGTCGCCGCTGTTGCGCTCCAATATACGTCGCATCTGCTTGCGCGCCAGCTCTCGCTTGATTTGGCACGCATTCTTGTCGCCACTGAAGAAGACCTCGCCCTGCTTGTTGGTGATGTCGAGGGTGGAGGAGCGCATCCAGTCCCCGTCGCCCTTCTTGAGCGCACCGAAAACTTGGGATACTTTGCGGCTGGCGTAAGCGGTCGAGCCCTTGAAGCGGAAGTTGTGCCTCTTGGACGTCGGGCCCCCCCTCGATGGTGTAGTCGTCAGCGCCGATGTTGATTTTGTTGAACAGCTCGCGGGGTGCAGCCTCCATGCTTGCCTTGCCGACCAAAGATTTTGCACGACTGACGCATAGAGCAGAGGCCTCCACGAGTCTCGGCCCGTCAACGGTTCTCACAGTCAGGAGTCTAAGTCGATGCGTTTGGGGGTTTGACAAGGCGGCCGTATCAAACCACCCCCCGGCCCTCGTTGTGCCCCCCCCCCCTCTTCCCCCTCCTCCTTTCCCCTTCCTCCTCCCCCCCCTCCCCCCCCTCCTTCTCCTGGAGGGGCGCGGGGGCCAGGGGTTCGGTTTGGCGGCCGCGCTGTTGATCCCCCGGTGGCTGAGCGGCCGCGTTAGGGGCAACGCATCCCCCAAGGGGCACGGCTAACCCACGCCCTCCCCAGGAGGGCGCCCCCTAACGGGCAATGCTCGGGGAGGGGACTTGTGCTGTATGTTCGGGCGTTGGCGGATAGTGCCACATTGTGATCGTCCCTTCTCTTGGTCTTATTGTGAGTGCGGGGGCGGGGCTGCTCCAACCTCCCCGGATACCATGCCAGAGAGGGCGGTAGGGGCTACGGTTCCTTCCCTCTCGGCCCCATCCGGGGGGCAGGCCGGGGGTGCCCATGGTCCAGGCGACCCGGCTTATTATGTCTAAGTGCTATTGTGCTTCCGATGTGGTGCCCGTAGTGGACCCTAAGTAGCCGGTTGAGGCAGTTCGGTGAATCAGGTGCGATCTTCGACGTGCGCACTGGAATCCCAACAACGAAGCACCCAACATATGAGTTTGTGAATTAATGTGTGGTTGCGTGTCTCGATCGATTAGTCTGGCCCCTGCGCATCGACGACACGCACAGAAGTGAGTTGGGGCACAACGGTGTCGCGGCCTGCGCTAGTCCCGCGTCCACCCTCCTTGGTTCCAATGTTACGGACAGCCCGGCTTGGGCGTTCGTTTTGCCGCGCTTCCGGGCCGATGGCCCCAGCGCCGATGGCCTTCTTTAAGGGCCATCTGGGGGGAGCAAACTCACTGCGCCCGGCGCCGGATTCCTCTGGTTGCCTGCTCCCCCCAAACCCCTTCGCGGCGGGGATTGTTGCTGGAACGCAGAGGGGGGTGGGGCAGCGGGCTGGCCTGGTCGCGGGTGGGTGGGTGGCGGAAGTGGAGTAGCATATGCCCTAAATAACGGATGTTTGGTTGTCTTTCTGGGGTGGGTTTCTGTGTTTTTGTCGTTGTTTGGGGCATCGGGTGTGTGACTCTCCGCTTCTTCCACTCCCACCGGGGGCCATCATTCTCAAATTTTCGTGTGGGGTCCAATGCGCCGTCTCGGGAGGTTTTTCCCTGCCGGCCTGGGGGCCGTTCGCGGCCGTCAACCCGGAGGACGAGGACGAGGATTTTGCACGAGCAATAGGAATACCAGCATCAACGGCCCGATCAAAGGCAGGGTCTGGAGCAGGCTTCTGCGGCGTCTCGCTGCGCACGGCCCCGAGGATGGTCCTGAGCTCGTCGACCTGGCGCTCCAGGGTGTTGAGGCGCCCGTCGTGCCCGTGGACGCTCCTCTCCAGAGCATTGCACCGCTGCTCGAGCTTGGTGGAGAGCGAGTCGTACGAGGTGGTGACCTTCGTCGTGAGCATGCCCATGGCTTCGCGCACGCTGGCCAGAGCTCGGAGTACTTCATCTCGGGATCCGTCCACGTACTTATTGATCTCGTCGAGAAGCCCCTCAGACTTGAGTTTCTTCTGTTCGTTGCCATCTTGATGGGCAGGGGCGAGCATCGCGCGCGGCCCAGAGGGAACCGAGAAGTCAAAGTCGGTGGGAGACGGATGGGCCCGCTGCCAACCTGGAGGCAGCGCCTCGAGCCCAGGTTTGTCCCTCCACGGTGGCGGAAGGGCAATCCCTCCACGGCTTGAGCCAAAATGGTTAACGGACCTCCTCCCCCTCCTCCTCCTCCACTTCCTCCTCCTCGTCCTCCTCCTCCTCCCTTCCCTCCTCCGCCCACTCCTCGCTCCTCTCCTCCTCCTCCACCTCCTCCTCCTCCTCCTCTTCCTCCTCCTCCTTCTCCTCCTCCTTCTCACACATTTCCCCCGCCTAGCCTGTCACGTTGTTCTTCAGCTCCTTCCTGTGATCACACATCCCGTCGCCACCGACGGCCAAAACCTTCAGGATCGGCGGCACCGGCCGCAAGGCCTTCACAATATTGTGGTCGATAGCTTTAAAGCCCCCGCTTGCGTCTCCAGAGGACCTAGGACGTCCTCACAGAGCTCACGAAAGTAGTCGCATTTGCGCACATGACAACGCCCAAAGAGGATACACTCCTCCTCTCCATCCATCCCCTCCTCGGTCCTCCTCGATCTACATCCTCCTCCTCGACTCTCGTCCGGTGCCAGAGGCAGAAGGGGTCAAGACTCCTCCTCCTGCTTCTGTTCCTGCTCCTGCTCCTCCTCCCCCTCCTCTCCTTCCTCCTCCTCCTCCTCCTCCTCCTCCTTTTCCTCCTCGGTTCTCCCCGTCCTTTGGCGCGCGACGGCCAGCCGTGACGCCCCGTCGTGGAACTCGAAGCCCAGCATCGGGACGGCCTCTCCGTTCTTCGGCGACCTCTCGGTGGCCTCCTGGGAGGCCTCTCGGACGAGGGTGGGGGGGAGGGGCGGGCGAGGCGAGGAGGCGGATTGGGAGGGCGGGGACGAGGGGGGAGGAGGAGGGGACGGGTTTAGAGTTTAGGGTTTAGGGTCTAACAGGGCAAGGCCAGGACTACCTACCTGCATAGGCACTCACCTGCGGTGGCTATCAATCCCCCCCGCATATCCGCCCCCACATAAACATCATCTCTCCTCTCATGTTATACCGTGGCTGTAGCATAGCATAGCATACCATAGCAAACCTGGGAGCAAGCGCTTAGCAAAGACGCGGCGGCCGCGCGCGCGCGGGAGACCCTAACGGGCGGGTCGGGTCGGGTCGGGCGGGCGGACCCTAACGGGCGGGTCGGGTCAGGTCGGGCGGACCCTAACGGGCGGGTCGGGTCGGAAGGGCGGGACATTCAAGTATGGTGCGTGTACACTTGACACGCGTGAACCCTAACGGGCGGGTCGGGTCGGGCGGGCGGACCCTAACGGGCGGGTCGGGTCGGGTCGGGCGGACCCTAGCGGGCGGGTCGGGTCGGGCGGGCGGGTCGGGCGGGCGGGACATTAAAGTATGGTGCGTGTGCACTTGACACGCGTGAACCCTGACGGGCGGGTCGGGTCGGGTCGGGCGGGCGGACCCTAACGGGCGGGTCGGGTCGGGTCGGGCGGACCCTAACGGGCGGGTCGGGTCGGGCGGGCGGGACATTAAAGTATGGTGCGTGTACACTTGTCACGCGTGAACCCTAACAAACGGGTCGGGTTGGGTCGGGCGCACTCTAGGGTTCGCCCGACCTCAACGTGCTTTGCTATGCAACGCCTCTCGTATGCTATGCCAGCATAGCATAGATTAGCACAAAGGCGAGTTCCACAACATCTGGGTAACCGCAGCCTCTAGCGTGGCTGTCGCATAACACCAGAGCGTGCCGAAACAACACAATGCATCAAGATGGAGACAAATGTAGAACTGTGAATCGTATACACTTCCAAGCTCACCTCAAAAACATTAAAGCCTATACTTATATTGTTTTTTACAATGGAAAGTGCACGTCAGAAAAGAAGAATGATCAGGATATAAAATCTGCTGCAATGGATGATTGACATGGACACATCTTGCAAGAGCAGAATGTTAAGTTTATAAGATATTCCCAATGGAAAGTGCACATCGGAAACGAGGAATGATCAGGATATACTATTTTTGCAAAGGATGGAGCATGTTGAAAGGCAAAATGTTAAGGTTATATTTTTTTACGATATAAAATTCCGGTTTACATACGGGTTCGCGAACCGGGGCCGGGCGTTTTGTATTGTAAAAAATACGGTTTTCTGATCGCATGATCAGGATATAAATTATTTTGCAATGGACAGGCCCGAGCCGCGGCCGGGGCCGGGCACAATGTATTGTAAAAAATCTGATATTCTGATCGCATGATCAGGAATTAATATTTTTTTTGCAAGGGATGGAGGCCGGGATGCATAGCGACCGGTTTAGCTGGCTTTAGGGTTTATTAATTATAAGGATTAGAAATCTAAGGTCTACTAGGCGTGGCCGCGAGCACACCGTGACCGCGAACCCACCTGCGGTGGCCGTCACTCCCACCCGCACGCCACCCCACCATAAAGATCATCTCTCCCCTCGTTAGAACCGCATGGAATACAGCGTCGACGACGACGACGACGACGACGGCGACGACGGATGTGCGATCCACTCGGCACGCGAGTGCTGTAACGGGCGGGGCGAGTCGGGTCGGGCGGAAGAGGTTCTGCACGCATGCGCAGGAAACGCTATTTTGTGGAATCGGTGGGTCGGGACGCAACGGAAGGCACTTTGTATTGTAAAATACAGGAGATTCGGCACGCATGCGCAGGAAGTGCTATTTTTCTTTGTAGTAGATGGACCGGGTTTACATAAGAGAGGCGCACTTTGTGCTGTAAAAAAAAAAGATTCGGCACGCGTGCGCAGGAAATGCTTTTTTTGCCGTGCATGGGGCCGGGTCGCGACGGGGACTGGGCACTTTGTGCTGTAAGAAATAGGAGATTCTGTACGCATGCTCAGGAAATGCTATTTTTTGCCGTAGATGGAGCCGGGTTGCATGGTGGCCGCTTTTATATGGTAATTAGGGCTTAATAATTATAGGATTAAGAATTTAGGGTTTAGGGTTTAGGAGGGGGGGAGGGGGAGGGGAGGAGGAGGAGGATGGGGAGGGGGGGAGGGGGAGGAGGGGGAGGGGGGGAGGAGGAGGGGCAAGCTAGGTGCGCTCGCGTCATATCTGACGTCCTACCCCTCCCTCCCATCCCTTACCATGGCGCTGATTTTCTCTATCCGCGGACGCGTGTCGTCAGCGGACCTGTGGCTCCGCGCGCGCGTGCGTAACTAGTGGGTGGTGGTGCGCGTGCGTGCGTGCGTGCGTGTGTGCGTGGTTGTGTGGTGGTGGTGGTGGTGGTGGTGGGTGGGTGTGGTGGTGGTGGTGGTGGTGGTGGTGGTGTGCTGTGCTGCTGGTGGTGGTGCCTGGTGGTGGTGTTGGTGGTGTGCTGGTGCTGGTGCTGTGTGCTGGGCTGGTGTGTGGTGGTGGTGGTGGTGGTGGTGGTGGTGGTGGTGGTGGTGGTGGTGGTGGTGGTGGTGGTGGTGCGGCGCGGTGGTGGCGGGCGGATGGGCGCGCGAGAAAGAGGCCCGCGCTGGGGCGAGAACGCCATCCTGAACGACGGAGGCCAAACACCGATCCGAAAATGAGGCCCACGCTGCAGCGGGAGCACGATTCGGAACGATTCGGGAGCAGAAATGAGGCCGGCGCCTCAGCGAGAGCAGCATTTTTGAAAAAAACACAAGCGAAAACCCAACTCCGGGGAATCCTGTGTGTAAAAAAACAGTACGCGGGGGGGTGCCGAATATCTTCCGGACGCCATCAGGGGAAGTGGGAGAGTATTTTCATATTGTGTAATTGTGGAGGAGTAGGAGGAGGAGGAGGAGGAGGAGGAGGGCGAAGATCTAAGGCAACGTGGCGGGGGGCCGGGCCCCGGCGGAGGCGCCGCCTCTGCCCGGGGTGATGCGCTGCTCGGCGAAGAGGAGCCCTGGTGTTGACAGACATTTACGTTGCTTCTCACTCTTGGGAGACTTGCTGCTCAGAGCTTTTGCGTCACCGCGCTCTGGGGAGCCTTGGTGTTCAGAGCTTGTGTAGTCACCGCTCGCTGTGGGGAGCCATGGTGTTCCTTGGCGTCTCTGGGGCTTCTTGGGTGTCAGTTGGTTGCACTTTTAAGCCGTTTTGGGACTCTTGGACCGGCTTGGGGCCAGTCCAGACCCCACACACACACACACACACACACACCCAAGCAGCCCAGTCCCCACGCCGCCTCTCCGGGCCCTCTTGGGAGCCTCTTGGGGCCCTCTTGGGGCTCTCTGGGGGCCGTCTTGGGGCCCTCTTGGGCCGTTTTGGGGCCCTCTGGGGCCGTCCGGGGGCTCTCTTGGAACGATGTCTGTCGTTTTGGGGCCTCTGGGTCCGTCTGGAGACGATCTTTGGGACCTCTTAGGCCTTCTGAGGCCCTTCTGAGGCAGAAACAGCGAGAACCCAAAAAACCAATGGAAAACCTTCAGAACAAAAAAACAAAGTGTTTCGCCTCCTGAAGGCCTCTCGGAGCTTCTTGAGGGCAATTGTTGTGCGCTTGGGCCGTCTGAGGGCCAGCCCAGTCCCCAGACCCAAGCAGCCCAGTCCCCAAACCGCCTCTTCGGGCCCCCTTGAGAGTCTCTTGGGAGCCTCTTGGGGCCATCTTGGGGCTCTCTTGTGGCCGTCTTGGGGCCACCTGGGGCTGTTTTGGGACCCTCTGGGGCCGTCTTGGCACGACCTTCGGGGCCTCGTGGGCCGTTTTGGAGCGTTCTTGGGCAGAAAGAGCAAGAACCCCAATGACCGGCAAAAAGCATGACACATAATTGTTGTTGCCCCTGGGGGCCCTCTCGGGTCTCCTCTGGAAGGCCTCGGCAGCCGCCTCGAGGCTCTCTCGGACCGTCCGGAGGCCATCTGAGGCTCTCTTGGGGCCATCTTTCGGCCGTGTTGGGGCCCTCTTGGGTCGTCTTGGAGCCCGAGGGCCGCCTCACTCGAAAAATACAAAGAAACGGGCCATGGAAGGCGTCCGCGAGCTTAGTGGGCCCTGGAAACGACAGGGCCGTTTTTTTACCGGTTCCGTGTTGCCGTTTTTTTACCGGTTCCGACGCCGTGTTTTGACTGTGTCCGGCTCCGGCTCCACTCCTGGAGCCGGTTCTTTGCCGTTTCCAGTCGTCGTTTCTTTGCCGCTTCCATTTTTAAGGGGCATGTTTTTGGAAACGGTGCAAAAACGGCCCTGCCGTTTCCGGGCCCCACAAAGTCCGCGAGCAACTTCACTTGAAGAGAAAACGGGGGGGGGGCCCGGCGGCCATCGCATCTCCCTTTCGGGCTTCGCCCCACACTAGCACGCCATCACTCGTGCCTCGCTCTTGCCGTTGCCTGGGCCGGCACGGAGACGGAGAGAGCGGACCAGGAACCTGCCTGAGAGGGCGAGCGGCACCCTTCGCTCTTGGGAGCCTGGTGGTAAGAGCTTCTTACGTCACCGCTCGCTTTGGGGAGCCTTGGTGTTCAGAGTTTTTACGTTGCCGCTCGTTCTTGGGAACCTTGGTGTTGAGAGTTGTTTACGTGACCGTTGGTGTGCGCGAGTTTGTCACGTCACACTCTTGGGAGCCTTGGTGGGAAGAGCTTGTTACGTCACCACTCTCAGTTGGGAGCCCTGGTGTTCAGAGATTGTTGCGTTGCCGCTCGCGCTTGGGAGCCTTGCTGTGACGAGCTTTTGTACGTTACCTTCACGCTTCAGAGCCTTGGTGTGAAGAACTTGTTACGTCGCCGCTCTCCGTTGGGAGCTCTGGTGTTCAGAGACTTTTACGTTGCCGCTCGCTCTTGGGAACCTTGGTGTGACGAGCTCTTTACGTCACCGCGCTCTGGGGAGCCTTGATGTCAAGAGCTTCTTACGTCACCGCTCGCTGATGGGAGCCATGGTGTTTTTGATTATTTCTCGATCTTTGGAGCCTCTCGGGCAGTTTTGGACCCCTCTTGGCCAGAAAGAGCAAGTACCCCCAATAACCTGCAAAACGAATAACAAAAAACAATGTTGCTTGCCCCTGGGGGCCCTCTCGGGTTTCCTCTGGAGGGCCTCTGGAACAGTCTTGAGGCTCTCTTGGACCGTCTGGAGGCCACCTGAGGCTCTCTTGGTGCCGTCTTGTGGCCACCTGGAGCTGTTTTGGGGAATACCAAGAAACGGGCCATGGGAGCCGCCTGGGCGCCGCATCACTCGAAACAAATACAAAGAAAGCTGGCCATTACATCCGATGTCCGCGCTCTTCGCCCCTCCCCTGGGACCCCTCCCTTTAGAGCTTCTCCCCACCTGAACGTCATCACTCGCACCTCGCTCTTCCCGTTACCTGCTTGGCATGGGGACGGAAAGCGCACGTATCTTCCGAGGGCGCGAGGTGGCTGGCTTAGTGTCTCTTGTAGCCTTGTTGGTGTCAAGGCCTCGACACGACACAACACAAATCCAGCGATGCAGGGGCACGCCCGACGTAAGGCTACGCGGAGATGTTGGGGCGTCCCACGGCCTCGCCGTCCTCGTGCATGGGCTCTTCGCGCGTCACGCGGTCGAGGTAGCGCAGGAAGAACGCCTGGGTCAGGCGCCGCAGCCGCCGCAGCAGGTCCATGTCGTTGGGCACGGCGAGCGCGGGCTGAATCGCCTCGGGCTCGAGTGTTAGGTCGGGCGTGTCCCCCTGCAGGCGGATTATGAACGAAAAATGAATGATAGTCAAAACATACAAGAAAAACTCTAACATACTCAAGAAATCGCCCCCTGACTATTTTTTGACTAATTTTACAGATTCCTCCTGTAGAGGGGCACGCCCGACTCAATGTGAGCAGCGGAAGGAGGACGGACAGAAAAACGGACTCCTGATGCGCAACCCTCCGTCCGCTTCGGTACACTCCTCCCTCGTCTCTCCCACGTCACCCCTCCCTCCCTCACTCCCTCCCTCCCTCCTCCTGCTCATCCACCCCCTCTCTCCAGCTCGCCCTCTCCTCCCACACATGATCCTCCCCCCTCCTTCTCCATCCTCTTCCCTTCTTCCTCTAGCACCTCCTCCCTGGCTCAGATTCCCCCCTACTCCGTGTCCTCATCCTCCCTTCATCACCGTCACGCCGCCTGGATCCGCCTCGCAAAGAAACTTCGAAGTGTGCCCGGTCCTCCTCCCCATCCTCCCCCTCGTTCTCCCTCCTCCTCCTCCTCCTCCTCCTCCTCCTCCTCCCTCCTCCTCGCTCTCCCTCCTCAGCCTCCCTCCTCCTCACCTCTCCTCCCTTCTGCTCCAGCACTGTCCACCCTCCCCTCCCTCCCTCCCCCATTGCCTCCCCCTCCGCTCCAGCTTCCTCCGCTTCCTCCTGGTTCCATGAATTTGGGGGAGGCCTCCTCCCACGAGCGCGGAGGAGGTTCCGCGGAGGAGGGGGGTCCCGCGGAGTTGCACGGAGGCCCCCCTGGGAGTTCCCCAAAGAGGCCTCTGGGGCTCCGGAGGCCTGCACGGGCCCCATCCAGCCCTGCCCGTGGAGGAGGAGGTGGAGTGAGGAATGAGCAGGCAGAGCAGCCGGAGTGAACAACAGCAGCAGATGGGGGGGTGATGGGCTTGTTTTCCACCATCACCACCACCCTAAGTTGGAGGGGGAGGGGGTCCTCCTCCTCCTCCTCCTCCTCCGCCTCCTCCTCCTCCTCCTCCTCATCCTCCTCTTTCTCTTCGTCCTCGTCCTCGTCCTCGTCCTCGTCCTCCTCCTTCTCCTCCTCCTCCTTCTCCCCCTCCAACTTCTGGTGGTGGTGGTGGAAAACAGGCCCGTCAGGGGGTGAGGAGGGGAAGGAGCAAACCGAACCCATGATGCGTCAGCTTTGCTGCAATGCGACCGCCTGCTCCGAGGACCCTCCTCAGAGGTCCGTGCAGGCCTTCTGTCTTGCCACAAGAAGGCGGCCCCTTTGGAAGACGATCGCCCCATGGCCCTGCCATGCAGCCGAACGCCCCGTGATGAAAAGGGACAGCCTGCATCCGTCTAGCGAACGATGAGGGGTGCGACTGGGTGACGCGTCAAAATCCGACGGGGTGTCCAGCGATGCACCGTATTTTGTTGTTGCCCCCCCCTATCCGAGCAACAACGGCATCCATGTACACTCCTGAACGTTCACTGTGAGGAAGGCTTACGCGATTGCCCCATGTTCGACTGGAGCCGCCCTCCATCCGCAGAGCGGTTACACATGTTCAAACATCTGGTCCTGGACGTCTGGGACGTCTCCAGCGAGGTACCCGCTTGAAGAGGGACACCCTTGAAGCCTGTTGCAACATGGTGAGCGCGGCGCTGACATGACAGTTCGATGTTGAGGACGAATCGCTATCCGCACTTGCGGCTGCTGCAATTTTTAGAGAAAACCAAACAAACAGCGTGTGCGGCGCAGGGCACACAGACCACACTTTTGAACACGTACTCGCTCGCCTCCATTCTTCTTACGGCAGCACAGGACTGAAAGTAGTGTGCGCGGCACTGGGAGGAGAGAACGTCATCTTGAGGAGGGTCCGCCCTGCATCCGTGAACATGCTGTGAGCTGTAAATCTGAGCCTTCGGGTTGGGTTGGGGTGGTTTGGTGGGTGGGGAGGAACTGCTGCACGCTCTTGCAAATCGAGTGCGCGCGGCGCTGGGGCGGGAGCCTTCCTTTTTTCAAACGCGGCCCCGCCTCCACCCTCGTGGCCGCCGCGGCCCAGGAGGACGACCGATCGCGGCGCCTCTGCGAGAGCCAGATTTTGACCTCCCCCTCCCCCCATCCTTGTAGTTCTGGAAGTCGGGCGCCTCTTCACGAGGAGCATCCTGAGACAGTCCAAACATCGTCCGGGGGGCGGTGCTTCTACGATCTCCTGGCAGTTTTGTGGACTATGTTTTGTGCGTCCTCCGAGATCTGCCTGTACACTGAGACTCGATTGGACAGGACACGCGAGAGGACACAAGACCCTTCCGAGGGCCACATTGCCACAGGAATGTAGGGAGCATGGGTCGCGAGACACAGGACACAGGGGTACCCTTGATTTGGCAGGGTCGATCTACTACTCTGAGCCGACTGTAGGGGGACGTGCCCGACCTCAGCGTCGCAAGGGAGTGGCGCGTCATGAATCCAGGCCTCGAGCAACACGCCCGGCCCGCGCCGCCGACACATCCCGGGGGGGAGGGGGGCAGCGTGGCGGGAAGACGAGGGGGGGTGCAGGGAGGGGGGGGCAGGGAGTGAGGGGGAGGGAGGGAGGGAGGGGGAGGGAGGGAGAGAGGGGGAGAGAGAGAGAGAGAGAGAGAGAGAGAGAGCGAGAGGAAGAGGGATGGATGGGAAGGGGGAGGAAGGATGAGGGCAAGCTAGGCGCGCTCGCGCCATATGTAAGACCCGCCCCCTCCCGCCCATCGTGTCCCCATTTCGTTATATGTTGTCCATCCGCTGACGCGTGTCATGGCCCATGGCGGACCTGGAACTCTCAACAAGACCCCGTCGAGTTAGCGCAATCAGAAAGGCTGAGCAAAGCAGGAAAAAGGTAGGTGGAAGATGAGGAAGGAGGAGGACGAGGACGAACAACGGCAGCGGGAACTGGGGTGGAAGGAGCGGGAGGAACAGGAGGACCAGGAGAATACGAAGGATGGGGAAGGAGGGCGCGACAACGATCAGGAAGGACTCGACTCAAGAGAAGTGGCCCGGGAGAGAGGGCAGGAGGGGGGAAGAGGACGTAAGAGTGCGGGGAACGAGGACAAGGAGGAGGAGGAGAGGGAGGCAGGAGGGGGCAGCGGAGGACGAGGAGCACGAGGCGGAGGAGGAGGAGGAGGAGGAGGAGGAGGAGGGGACAACGAGAACGACGACGAGGGCCGCCAGCGAGGGCCGCCCTGGGGACGCCGAGGGGATCGTCGCCCGCACGCCGCCAGGGTCGCTGGTGTCGACGCTGGTCTTGCCCACGCCTGTGTCCAAGAGCCAGCGGCCGACCTGCCAGCGAAGCCACGCTCCACCGCGTGATTCCTCTCGCTGTCCCTTTCTATGTGTTGATGCTAGCTAGCATTCTCTCTCTCTGTCTTTCTTT